GCAAAATCATCATACTAAATGAAATTTTAATTCACTTTATTAATACAAGGAAATAGTCGAAACTGACAAAACAGATGACGTTACTATGGTTACAAGAAATCACAATTGGACAATTGAGTTTCGACAATGCATTAATTAACATTCTGTTAGCCAGGAATAAATATTAGTGGCTGGTTAAGACATTTGTGCGTGGTGGGACGCTCGATACATCTAACAGAGCATCAAACGCCTTAACACGATGTTATTTATCTAACAATGATTGGTGAAACTGGGTCTGAGGTATTCAAATTATTATTTATGTATTTGTTATTTAATTCTACAAACTCGTTTGCGTTTTGTCCATGCAGTTTTCAAAATTATAGGTAGTTTGTTCAAGAAATAAAAACATTTGTATTGGCATAATATTCCATTTCAGTGTAAATGAAGCCATAACTTAAAAAAAATGCAAGTTAATATATGTATGTAGATCGATACATTTTTAATATTATTTAATTATTTTGATTCTATGTTTCATATTTGCAAAAATATATGAAAAGCATTATATATGAGACAAGCTTTAGTAGAAATTTAAATTAAATCTTGTATGAACGCAAATTTCTATTTTATTTCAAAACAAACAAACGCTCTTTGTTCATTGAACCTCAAAATGTGTTACAAAATAGATTCGATAACGGAAAATTGTACAACGAGTGGACCAAGCTTCCTGTAAACGATTACATTATGATAATTTATATATGAATATATGTAATGAACAATTACTAACAGCTACAAAGGTGAAGAAATATAATAAATGTTTTGTAACTCAAACGTATCCATTTAAATGAAAATAATATTATTTATATCAATTTTTCCGCAACCGTGATTACGGTCGCCGAAACTTCGAGAGTATGTATTTTATAAAATACGCGAATAATCCGAAAAATATTAGTTTCATTTAAATGAATACTCGTGAAAATCTTCGTTTTCTATAATAATCTTTGAGTTACAATTTGTTACAACAAAAATATATTTATTATACAAACCAAAGTCCGAATAAATGAAAATTTATTACAAAACAGTGCACCATATATATGTATATGTTATTATACGCAAATTGTCTTCATTATTTTGCATAACATCTGTTGTCATATAAAAGTAAGTCAACGATAACAACGGGTTAAAAATACAATAACTACAGAACAACGACACTTACTGGAAATACGAAATATAAATGTAATAATATTTAAATATTAGGTACATTAAGAATTTAATTTATAGTATTTTTCGTATTTTAATTCTTGGTTATGTTTTATATAAAGATGATAAAACCATTTGTCCAAACTAAATCGGATAACGTAATTTGTAGGCTCTCTTTGCAAATAGATTATTCCAATATATATGACGAAACATCTCGTCTGCCCGTGATCACGGTAGCTGAAAAGTAAGTAGTCGAAAGTATGTAGTTTTTTACAAATATAATATCCGTTGTATAATACGAAAATAATACTTAGTTAATTCATTATGCAGTTATAACAAGATCATGTCTTGGAATTTTTGATGAAGGATTTACCTGCCATCATAGCCTGAAATTGGCAAATCTTCTACCAGGTCAGAACTTCGTCAAAATCGGTGGAATCTGATGGTTGAGCAAGTTCCTAGAGTATTTGGAAGCTATGTTCTATACAATAAGATTCCTTATCCAACGGCTAAATACTGGATACTATTATTGGGTAAAGTCTAATGAACAAACGAACTACTACATGAAAAATACTGATAGCAATTTTAATTGGCTCCTACACACCGGTTTCAGAAGCATTAGCTTGAAATAAATCATGATAAACCATTATAAATTGAACTGTACAAAATTTTATATAAATCATTTCCCAAGTCATAAAGTGCAAGCAAAACTTGTACGGTTAAGTAACTAACAAATTTGATACAAGTAATCGACGTATCTATCTTTTATAACTATATCAGTTGTAAATGTATTTTCCATATAGTTAAGAGTTTAGGTAGACTCTAGAATTTAGAAAGAGAGAGATAGACTTTAGAAAGAGAAAGAAAACCAGTGAAAATTTTTACGAAAATGTATATAAAACCTAGCGTACACATTACAAGAAAAAGGCAGGTAGTGTCGCAAGGCATTGAGCTATTCAAGATTTCTACACAACTGCGTAATGTCCTAGGAGTAGTAAGAACAGCCTTGCTTATAGCGGGCCGGGCTTAAGGGCCGGTGAATGTCTCAATGACTGGTAAATATATTAAAATTTTGTTACATATTTCATTTATTTCCTTAAAATTACGGAACTATTCCGGCTATAATTAATTAATTGGTAACATGGTCACTTAAATTAATTAATTAAGATAAAATTTCTGCAATATATTCCTTTTACTCGATTTAAAGAAAAATACATTCGATAATTCCGTCCTTTTAAAATTTCACCACAAAAAATATAAAATTTAAGAACATAGTTACAAAAGCCGTATTCCTTTAACCGAAACAAAAAATAACATATATTAAGAAAAATATCTGTATAAAATATATTATTTATCTATAAAATTAACATTTATTAATATCTGTTATTAATAACTGTCAAGAGATTAAACAAAATGATTGTTATGATTAATTATATATGTCAGTTTTGTCTTATTAAATATTATCCTATTATAATATTAAAGTGGGGTTCTTTGTTACTTATATATATGTTTAACTATACATATTCCTACTTAATATACGTGAACTCTATCATTTGTATGTAATAATCATAATACTGAAAATACAAGATCGAAATCCGTAAAAAAAAAACAATATGGCTGACAAAATATTATTACAATATCGTTTACTATATAATATTGTTAATTTTTGTCGAAACTATTTTCAGCCTGTCAAGGTTATATTAATAATAAAAAAATACAGATACAAAAAATATTAAGAAATGATTTTGGGTTTGAATTTTTTTAAGTATTTTTAATTTCAACAAACAAAAGGCGGGAGAACATTATATCTTTATTATACCGGTTTTTGTACACTGTAACAACACAATTAACCAGGATTGTTTTTCGTGAACACTATAACGAGAATTCGGCATGACGTAATGTAAAGTTTCTAAACTCAAGTAAATATTTCAACCCAAACAGTGATCTTCGTTGTCGCAATGACGGACAAATAGACCGGTTAAAATCATAGTGCTAATTGCTCGGTTAAATAAAAAAGAAGGAACTTAAAAACCCGAATTTATTAGTTTTAACCTTGAACTTATTTGACATATGTAAAAAACTGTTTTTGTTTAGACGGATTTTTTCATATTCTGATTGACGTCTGTCAAATTATACTGAATGCTTCAAACACAATACGTGTTAAACAAAAAATAAATGTTCATATTTAAATCCTAATATATCGTTTACTATTATTAATTTACAAAACACGATAAAAATTACGCGACGATTTATTCCGCTGAACGTGAAAGTAAGTAAAAGTCGTACTCAATGTCACTTTAGTTTAAAAAAAACAACTCGAACTTTCTTTAATGTCTCCAAAATAAAAAAGCTAAATACTCGTCTATTTTAGCTCAACATTTTTATTAACTAATTAGATTTATATTTTTTATTTTATAATATAATAATATTTTAAAAAAAGTGTAAACTAAATGTAACCCTCTCATATATTAACTACCTATATTTATATTTTATTAATAGTAAGTTTTAAGTAATCATACAATATTTGTGAAATGACAACATTTTTAGATAATGGCAACTTTCTCCACAACAAATTGACCTTGCGGAATAACGTTTGAGTTACTTGCAACGGACTATTTGAGATTTGACACAAAAAAGACATATCTTCTTACATCATAAAATTAAATAAACTATAGCTAATACCTTTTTATTTGATTGAATCTTTCGATAATATCATGTATTGGACATAAAATAATAAGAATTCATTAAAATCTTTATTATACGTGATGTAACACGTTAACCGATATCTTTGTAATAAAGTATTTTACCCAGATTTATAATCTTTATCGTCGGCGTGATTTCGTTGTTCATTATCATCACGTCGATCAAAGGTTAAACAAAATAAAATCAATTCTATAAGTTTTATTACTTTAACTCTATGAAAAAATAATATAAAACAATAGTATGAAACTATTAATTACTATAGTTCATCTATTATGTTTAAATCTATAGATAATTTGACGCGTTCTTAGATAAAACATCTATCTATAACATTAAATTATAAAGTAATTAGCATTGAACATTATCGGAACAGTTGTGAGGACGTCTCTAGCTTCGATAACGTTGTATGATAGTTAATTTATAGCCGAACGGTTAAAACTGAAATAAAAATGAGAAAGAATCCTGTTAATTTATGTAGTTGGTGCATTAACGTGTCAATAAACGTGTTAACTCGTATCATACTTATTGTTATAACAGATTTTTTGTATCATTCCTTTGTGTTAGTGGAGATTTTGTTGAATAATTCCTGTTTCTTATATCCTGAGTGGATCTCAAGAGCGTTTAATCGAATTGGTGACAATGTGAACAAAGTAATTTTACTTCTGTTCAAAGTAACAACGTCGAAGGTAATTTAATGTGATAAATATGTTATTTATTTACAAGTCCTTGACATAATTATTATAACTATAACACAAAGGCATAATTACAAATTGTTTTATATTAGATGCGATAACCGATGGGTATATAACTAAATAATATAAAAATCTTAAGCAATTCATATAATTAATTTATAAGAACATAATATTATACCTACTTTTGTACATAAAACATTTATTCTCATAATACTTTGTTAGGAAACAAAAATCATTACGAAACATATTATCAAATTTTCAAAAATTAAATTGAATTACGTAAAAAATCTATATATTATTGGAGCCTTAGTTAAAATGTTTTTTTATTGACATAATAAAAAAAAATTATACTATCATAATGTAAATAGTAAGCATGTATAATATAAGATCGTAAATTTAAATTAAACTAACCCAACTATTACACAGGTCGTGATGCTTAACGGTTTCATGAGGAGATGTCTCCGTTTCCTGGTGTCCATGCTGGCGATCTTCGTGCATCCAGTCACATATGTAATTAACATCAAGAGAAACAGGAAATGTCCTCCACCAACCAACCCTATATTATACAAATCAGCCACTACTTTAGCCATGATGATCAGAACTAAACAAGTAAGTATGATGAAACCTCTCATCATTCAATGTATTCACGGTGCGGGTGTCGGGTCCATCGTTGTATTGAGAGGAGCTTCAACAGTGACTGGGACTTGCGACCCGGGTGTAGGTTTAAGGGATTCCTATCTATCTAATATTCGGTAATGTGGCAGAAAAATTCAGATAGTTTATAAAATAATTGGTCATTTCATAATTATGAGATTTAGAAGTACTTCGACTGTTATCCCTGCTAATATTATAAATGCGAAAGTAACTCTATCTGTCTGTCTGTTACGCTTTCACGCCTAAATCACTGAACTGATTTTAATGAAATTTGGTAAAGAGATAGAGTTGATCTCGAGAAAGAACATAGGATAGTTTTTATCCTAGACTTTTGAAAGGTTCTCTTGGTAATGCGATATAACGGAAATCCACACAGGCGAAGCTGCGGGCAGAAAGCTAGTGATTAATAAAACTCATTTATTTTCGATCATAAAATCGGTTTTCAACATACAAAGCGGAAAAGTTTTATCATCCCATAATATAAAATGAAATAATTATAAATATAACATAATTCAATTTCAGATCACATCAGAAGAAGTGGTAAAGACTTATATTGAACGATGTAAAGAAGTTAACCCATACCTGAATGCTATCGTTGAACCGCGGTACGACTTAGCCTTGAAGGAGGCGAGATGCATCGACAAAATGATAGCGTCCAACGATCGAACGCCAGAAGATCTTGCCAAGGAACATCCTCTACTAGGAGTTCCTTTGACTGTCAAGGAGAGCATTGCTGTTGAAGGTTTGAAGCGCCTACTTTACATTTATCTTAATACTATTTTCTCATACCGAAAAATTTGAAATCTATGCCATATAACTAATTGATTCATCGAAATATTTCATTTGAACAATATTGTCGAACTAAGCCACCAACCACTTGCAAATCTAAATACTCTTCTTATAAAAATACCTTACTTACTTACCTTAGTACTTTTTAGTATAGCAATATCTAAATACTTAATTCAGCAAAAAATACCTATATATAGTATCATGATGTAATCTTTACAATTAGAGCTTTAACAAAACAAACTTTACCAGTACTAAAATCACCTTATCAAATCTTAAGGCATGAGCAACGACTGTGGCACGATATACCACAAGCGTCAACCCGCCACACGAGACGCAGATGTAGTGCGAGCTGTTCGAGCAGCTGGTGCTGTTATAATAGCTGTAACCAACACACCCCAGCTGTGTATGAACTGGGAGACGTATAATAACGTGACCGGACTCACTATGAACCCTTACGACCAGAGGTTGACCACTGGCGGATCATCTGGCGGAGAGGTAGCGTATATAACTTTTATGGGCTATTTAATGGAATTAATTATCGAAGATTATCATGTTCTTTACACTTATTAAGGTGGTAGAGAGTAACTGTGGTCAAATTACTAATATGGGCTGGCTTGACAAGAGAAATACCACGTTTTCACCGAAGACCGGCGTGAAGTAGCCTTTATTGACTGCGTTTCGTCCGATGAGTGAGAGAGCCGGTTGCCCTTTCGATATTCCCATTCTTTTCTAACCTGACACTATTAACGCTCTTTCTTTCTTCCTCAAAAATCAAACTCGGCAATGCATTGGCAACATCTATCTATTAAGCTTCAGATGTCCATGGGTGATAACTACTGCCCATCGAGTAGACCGCCTGCTCGCTTGCCACCTATCTTATATAAAAAAAAAAATATTTAAAGGACTATTAATATTTTGCACATTAATATTCTTTGGACAATTCCTAAACTCCTTTGCAACATTATTACTCTTTTGTATAATAAGTAATATTTAAATTACAGTCCGCACTAATTTCGTCAGCAGCTTCGGTAATTGGAATTGGTTCTGATATCGCAGGTTCGCTTCGGCTTCCGCCGATGTTCAATGGAATTTTTGGACATAAACCTACTCCAAAACTAATATCTATACAGGGTAAGTACATCTAAATGTGGAAAAACATAGAGCTTCTAACAGCAAGCTATAGAATATTTCCTTAATGAGATCAAAGACTTTCTCCACTTTTATTCATTTAAATGAACCTCATATTTTTCGGATATACTACGTGCTAAAAGTAGCCGAATGATCTGGAGTTTGGTTTCTTTTAAATGGAAATTTCCTTAAATTTAATTCATAGTATGATTCTTTCACTGAATAGATGCTAATATTTATAAGCAAATGCTCAGCAATATATATATTTCTTTCCAGGTCACGTTCCAGATTGCTTAGAATCTGAATTCGAGGAATACTTCGCTCTCGGACCCATCACGAGATACGCCGAAGATCTGTCTCTTATGTTAAAAGTATTAAGACAACCAAACGGTCCCGATGTACCATTGGACAAACCTGTAAGTTATTATTTGTATTATTAAGAGCTTGCTTCGCCCCGCGGTGTTACCCGCGGATTTCCGGGGTTTCTGAGATTTCCGAGATGTAAAGTAGCTTATGTGCTATTCCTGGAAGTCAGCTTCCTGTATACAAAATTTTATCAAAATCGGTTCAACCATTTGAGCGTGAAGAAATAACAAACACACACATACTCACAAATTTTCGCAATTATATTATTAGTAGGATAAGCAACATAGCATCATATGTTGATTGTAATCAATAGTTTTATACAAAAGAAATATGTAGTCCCAATAAGCAATGAAATTTTAGATATATTCTGCTAAAAACAAATTCAATTAAATAAAGATACGTTCCATTTTAACAAACCTGAAAGGTATTAACTCGAAAATATTGTTTAAATATATTATATTTTCTATAAATTCAGTTTTATATAAAAAATTAGGGGTTTCCTTTTAATTTCTTTAATTATTCCAACCATGTTACGAAATTTATTTCTAATTTCAGGTGGATCTCACACGTTTAAGGTTTTATTACATGGAAGGTGACCACAGCAATGTAACTGATAACATTGGTTCAGACATGAAGAAAGCGCTTTACAAAGCCAAAGACTACATTAGGTCTACATATAACGTAGAAGTGGAAGAGGTTAGTTCTAAACAAAAAATATTCCTTTATAAGCTGTCTTCAAGCTGCACGTAATTATAAAATAAGGCCAAAGCAAAAAAAAATCGTAGATTTATAAGCATAATGAGATTTTTTGTAACGAGTTTTATTCATTCAAATGAAACTAATATTTTTCGGATTTATTTTTGTAAAAAACTACATACTCAAGACGTTTAGGCTACTTTTCAGCAACCGTGATCACGGGCAGACGAGATTTCATGTAAATACCAAGTTAATCCGAAAAATATTAGTTTCATTTAGAAGTTTATATGTGATTATTAATTTTCAGTTGAAAATACCAAACATACAACATATGTGGGAAATAAGTGTCAGGGTTTTACTGAAGGTGAATCACGTACAGAATATATATACGGACCCGGAAAAAAGAGACCAATTAGTCTCAATGTGGCCTGAAGTATTGAAAAAGATGGTTGGGATGTCAGACCATTCGTTCACTTCAGTTGTCTATGGACCAGTAAAGAAATTCTTTGATTCCTTACCAAATAGCTACTATGAGAAGCTATTAAAGGTTTTCGAACAAATTAGGAATGATTTCAGCGTAAGTTTCAAATAATTTTTCATATATTAATCATTGCAGCACTATTTTTTCTATTTAAGGGCATAGACTATATTAAAATTATCTGTTACGTACATTGTAAAAAAGAACTGTTAACTATTTAGGTTTTGTATAGGATTTTTCTTATAGTAAATGAAATTGAGATTTTCTGTTGAACCAAACTAGAAACTTTATTACATTATATACACGTTAGCAGTGAGCATAGGCAATAGACACGAGTATAGACTAAACTAAATATAGATAACAAAATTATTTCTCATAGTGGTTTCCTCAGACGGATTAACAAATTCACCTTATTTCTATATGCTAAATTAAATTATATATTCAACAAGAACAAATATAATTACTACCACGTCCAAAATTATAATGATATCTAGAACTTCCAAACATTTAGAAGTTTAAAAATGCAATTTCATATAATAATCGATTTATTTCTTTTCCAGGAAGCTCTAGCTGACGACGCAGTGTTACTTTTCCCTACATATCCTTACCCGGCTCACAAACACTACAGAATATTCTACAGATTCTTAAACTGCGGCTACCTTACGATATTCAATGTTTTGGGACTACCCGCAACTGCTTGTCCTTTAGGTTTATCAGATAAAGGCATTCCTGTTGGAATACAAGTTGTTGCTAATAAATGCAATGATCATTTAACATTAGCGGTGGCGAAAGAATTCGAAAAAGCTTTCGGCGGCTGGTCGCCCCCTAATAAGGATCTTCTAAATAGCGTCAAAACTGCGTAATAAGTAATAATATTAGATATTTTGTGATCGTATTTTAGTGTGTATATAATCCAAACTGTAAATAAAATTAATTATTATACGTATATAGAAATAAAATATTTTTTTACATTTTGTGGACGTTTTTTTTTTATTATTTGTTATGTTGACTTCGATTATTATAGTAGCCTACTGTAAGTTTTCGGCTGAGAAACTGCTCTGACAACATTTCTATGTAAGAGGTTTTAACTAAAATATACCATATTATGTGAATAAAAACCTGGAGTCTTGTTCTCCAGAGCCAAAAAGCAAAGCAAAATTATAAACAAGTGTTATAGGACACATGCAGATTTATTCATTTCTTCTCAAACTATAAACTTTATCTGGCCAACAGTAAATTCTATTTCATCCATATAAATATCAGTAGTGGATCTAGGAAACCAAGATTACAGAAAATCAATTATGATAGTACGTAACATTCAAACTTCAAGTCCAACCATAATTAACGCAAGGTTAATCTGTGTCTAGGACACTACCTGGTAGACACTTGTACTGCTTCTGAAATAGATACCATATAGCAATTCGGTGACGTATACTAATAGATATATATAACCACATTAACAAGGCAAGGCTTTCCAGTTATTTGTTACAAGATTCAGAGCCATGCGAATGGATGTGTCATATAATGGTGATATATTTTAATATAGCTAAGGGTTTAAAGTGGTAATAAAAGGTAAGTTTAAAGCCATAAGTAGATTTAATATACATTAGATTACAAACCAATTTTTTTAACGGTTCCCGAGTGAATACAAAAAAATCGAATAGTCCGATTGACAAATCAATAAACAGAAAGAAAAAAAAATTAATATCAAAATATTTGACAGTCTAGAATGTAATTAATTTCTAGTCAATATAAATAAATGTTATTAAAAGACAGGTACACATTAAAATAAATTTTCATTGCACACATTTTGTATTATCAAGTTTCTATTGATTACTTCCTTATTAAAAATTATTTAAATCCAAACATACAACGATGGCTGTCAATTTTAGTCTTTTAATTTAGTAATGACAATATTACAAAAAAAATAATATATGTAATCTACAGGAAATTTGATACGGGTTTGCTTTTTCAAATCAAGGCAACACTAAAATATTATGGCAGTACCAAACATTTGACGGAGCATTTTTAGGGCAAGTCTATACAATAGACAAGAATATTTTTTGTTATTTAAAGAAACAACAGTATGGTTTTAATCATGACTTACATATAACGTTTTATCTTATAGTTAAAGAAAAAAATTTTCAAAGAAGATTTTTAAATATTTGATAAACTTACGGAAACCTAAATTATCACTCTTTGCCTACCATAGAATAATACAACAGCTGGTTAAAACTGTGCTTTAAGTACTACTTTAAATTTGAATCCTGATTTTTAAAAATTCTTTCTCAACAATATTATTTCTTTGGTTATCGAACAGCAAAATACTTGCTATATATTTTAATGTATAATTTATTAAGAATCATAACTTTATTTTTTTAATAATTTACAATATAGGTAGAGCTATAACGTAAAATTAAAGTCTGATTTCAGTAACAGACACTTTTCATAAATATTTTGACATTAAAAAAACCATAAATGTTAACCTTGCAATGTAATATTAAAAAGAAACGTCACTTTAAAATCAATGAATTACATTTAGGAATTTAAAATTATGTGTAGATACACGATAAGCAATTTTAAATAATTATACTTTCTTAACTTCTTTTAATGTTACAAAATAATAGACATTTGTGATTCGACGAACACGAACGATTTTTCTTTCAATGATTCATGAATGAAATCTAGTAAAGCCAGAGTTAGACAAGATCGAGTTGAAATGACAATTGAATCATTGACAGATGACTGTCATGATATAATTTGATGAATATGAAAATTAAAAAATCTTAGCTATTTAATTAGATTAAGTTACACTCCTAAGTAGTTTATAGAGCTTTTCCTAGATTTTGTTTGGATAAATCGAATTACGGTTAACTATTTTTTATTTTCTTATACCGTCACGACGCACGCGCAGTAGTTACTTCACCTAAAATCTCCCAGCGCCATATTGAGAGAGGCGGACGTTGTATGACTCGAGTGAATAAAATCGTGATTAGTGCAATAATTTGAAGTGAAAGATTTGATCGTGCCCTATGGATATATACTCGGGTACGTAAAGGGGAAGATAATACCTTTAAAAAGTGTTTCAATGCAATATTTAGGCCACAGTAACTCCAATCTTAACCTAGACATAGGCCGTTCTAGTTATCAGTAGATCGCCTAGGTATCACCAATTCGCTGTTTGCTTATGGTATTAATTATATTATTACACACGTGCAAAGAGTAGCCATAGGTTTCTTGAATCTAGTTACATTAATAAGATTATACGATTGCTTCACAAGGTTCGACGCTCGTATATAAACGGATTACGAAGTGTTTATGTCGGCAGTTGACAGAAGCGTATATGTATATGACCGATCATAAGTCACCACACCCAGTGGCCGGATTGTCGGTTTTAGGATTTATTACAATTTATATCGGATGATTGTTCACGTGCGTCGCGTTGGATTGTGATTGTGGACGGGCTAGTGACGGAGCGGAGTGATGCAGTGAGTGATAAAATATCTAATTTCTAGGAGTGGTGCGCCTCGGTTGCTAGGCCTGCCGAAGGACAGGGATCCGCGCGCGAGGACGGTAGCGGCCCTCCGCCCTGAAACATGGAGTGCTGCATGTCGGAAGAGGCAAAAGAACAAAAGAGAATTAATCAAGAAATTGAGCGGCAACTCCGAAAGGACAAACGCGATGCTAGACGAGAACTCAAACTACTTCTGCTTGGTAATTATCTATCACACATTTAACAGTTAATTGCCTTTTTATAAATATCTCAATACAGTCGATGTCGCTTTACGCCTATTTTCGTAATTCGTTACTCTTTATCTATAATGATATTTTCTGTTCTGTGTTCTTAATTTAGGATATTTTATTAGTATATATAGGGTTCATTGCACTTTTGATTAAATCTGTCCCAACTGTAACTACAATCTATGTTTTACAGTTTAATACTGTATCCAATATAAAATATTTATAAATAGCTACAGTTGAAACTTCAATTATTAATTATTATATGTAACTATAGTCTTATTAGGTGTTATTCTGCATACTATATTTAATAATAATTTCTTTAACAAAACATCTAAATTGATCACACAAAATATTTATTTTAATGTACAAACTAACAAAAATTACATATAAATCTAATTATATTTATTATATGTGGAATGCAATTATTATAAAAATAAGTAAAATTATTTTTTTTTCTTATATGAAATGTCAAAAAGATATATGTATACCATTATTCTCTAACATTTTATTTATGAATGGTAAATAATACATAAAAATAATACTTATATTGTCATTGACATATAACATAAGTAAAATTTTTATATATAACAATATTTATATATTATGATAGAAATTGCAGCACTACATTCATATTTTACTCTGACATATAAATACTTTAACATATTTAAAGTAATATTCACAGGTTACTTGTATATAGTAACATATATACATAATATATATAGAATAGAAAATAGATATATTTTCTATCAGAATTATTCTAAATTGTTATTTGATGAACATATAGAAGTCATTGTTGCGCAATAAATTAGACTACTGTATAATTATTAATATATAATAATTAGGTGCGAAAATTGGCCTTAAACATAATATAAATCTATTTATATGTTTATCAAGTACATATATATATGTAGAATATATGTGTTCATGATTATAATAATTTGAAATCAATAATTCATTAATGATATATGAAAATTACTTCTAATACAAAGTGCTACTAGGAAATGTTATTTACTTAAATTTTGGTTACGATATCAAATATTATAATTAAAAAAAAAACATTATTTCAATTATAGACTATATCTTATCTTTAAAGGGAAAAGTATATTGAAATATATAAATATAAATTTTAAATATTTTTATAAAATATTTGACTTCAGGAAGTTATATTAAATGTATGGGAAAATATGTTATCAATTGGATGCTTACAACTTGACCTATTTGTCATAGTTATTTCCAATGATTCAAATTATTAATTTGTATATATATACATTACTTTTTTCAAGCTATTGCAATTGCATTTATTTAAAAATTACCATATACATTTTTTAAATTAAGAAATATATAATATTGAAATAATTGCAGTCAAATTTCTACTTACTTTAATGTATGTATTGAGTTTTGATAAGTTTCTATGTAAATATATAACTATTTAATAATTATTTTAATTCTTATGTACTATCTTATTGGCACACAGGAAATGCTAGTTTCGTAATGTGTCACTATATACTAAAATAGAATTATATATTGTAAAGGTTTATATGAGAATATATAGAAATATAGGTTATTCTTATTGGTACATTTAATCTTATTGAATTGGCATAATCTCTTCTTAATCAATATAGAGATGTATCTAAAATATTATAGTATGAATGATTGAAGTTAACCGAAGTTCCATTAATATTTAGAACCCAATAAAAATTGGGTTATAAAGAAAAAATAATTTATTAAATATAAAATATTGACCTTGTATAGAAAATTGATGGAATTTAGCAATGTGAAATTTTGTGAAGATGTTTCAATTAACTTAACAATTACTGGGTATAAATATATTATGATTTTTGTTTTATACACTGTTAGCTTACTTCTAATATTTTTGGCCTTGTCACATCAAAGACTGGCTGTACTAATGTAAAACCTTGTACTTAAAGTTCTTTACACATAAAAATAGGGAGAAGTATTAATTGATAGATAATTTTGTATATATATTGATGGGTCCTATGTATAAGGGCCGATGTAGCAATTTAGCCATTTTAATTTTTTTGCTTTAAACACTTCATAATACTATATTCTATGACATCCATTTAAAATAATGTGTATTTCTTGGTTGAAAGATTTAGTTTTTATTGAAGTAAAAAAGCATAGGTAACACACTTTTTAATGTATAATGGCATTTGTGTAATTTATATTAAAAAGTAGTAGGTTTACAAAAAAAATTATCAAGCTTAAATGACTTACATGTATGTCATAGTTGCTATGCAAAGTTTTAAAAGCATCAGTTGTCACAAGTAGATACATTGAAATCAAACTTTAAACGCCTCTACTGTAAAATTGATATTTTGCATATTTTCCTTTATACATAGAAGCCATCATATATATGTATATATGTTTATATTTATGTCGACATATCTGTCATAGTTGCCATGCAAAGTTTTAAAAGCATCACATGTCGCAAGTACAAGATACATTAAAATCAAACTTCTCAACTGTAAAATTGACATTTCCCATATTTTCCCTTTATACATAGCCATCAATATATATATGTTAATATTTATGTGTAGGTACTGGTGAATCCGGCAAGTCAACATTTATCAAGCAGATGAGAATCATTCACGGCTCGGGTTACAGCGACGAGGACAAGCGAGGCTTCATCAAACTGGTGTACCAGAACATCTTTATGGCCATGCAGAGTATGATACGGGCCATGGATCTACTCAAAATACAATACGGGAATCCGTCCAATGCGGTATGACGTTTTAAAAGGAAAATAGGTTTTAATTTCATTTAGACATCACTATACTTTTGCATCTAAAACTAGAAGGAAATAACGAGTAACTTTAAGAAATACGTAACTTTTTCTCTTATCAATATCTTAAACAATTTTATTTAAAATTGTCTATCAAAAAATTATTAAAGTTGAAAAAAAGGTAACAAATTCCCGGTTTTATATAGCGAGTCCGAAATAGATTTTAGAGTATGTCCTCAATTCATAACAGATTTATATTAAACAAGTATAAATAAAATTCTTTTGTTCACTTTATAATTAATATGACAACTGATTTACTAGAGCTGCGAATTAGCTTCAGACAGAAACGATTAAAATATGCTTGAAAACAAAAATGCTAACCCAGTAGCGCCATCTTTTGTCCGTCTTACGGTAGTACATACACTTACATTACAAAGTACCTGCAAGAATCATTACATTATATGTAGTATTATACTGGAATTATAATTAACTAGCTTTCCGCCCGCAGCTTCGCCCGCGTTGAGTTCGGTTACATCGCGTTTCCAAGAGAACCTTTCAAAAGTCTGGGATAAAAACTATCCTATGTTCTTCCTCAAAGTCAACTCTATCTCTGTACCAAATTTCATTAAAATCAGTTCAGTGGTCTAGGCGTGAAAGCGTAACAGACAGACAGAGTTACTTTCGCATTAATAATATTAGAAGGGATTTAGATTGAAATCGACTTATATTTCTAAAAATTCAAATTTTAGTGCTAATATAAATAATATGAATTCCAGGAAAAGGCGGAGTTGATATCGTCCATCGACTATGAAAGCGTCACAACGTTCGAAAGTCCGTACGTGGAAGCTATCAAGGCTTTGTGGGCTGACTCGGGAATACAGGAGTGTTATGACCGCCGGAGGGAGTACCAACTGACTGACTCCGCTAAATAGTGAGTATTGACAGTCAGTATACACTCATGAGTCAGGTCAAACTGTTGTATGTATAAAATCTATTATTAATATTACGATACTACAATAGTATATTAGTCAAATTACTGCCAAATTTGAAATACGTTTTTTATATGATAAAGCAATTATAGTCATGTTAGTAGTAAAAATAATATTATCATAAGCCTGTTTTCCTCAAATATATATTTATATATTTTATTTATAATAAATTGATTTATTATTGACTGGTAGTATAACAATAATATAATATATAGTATATAAAACAATGGGCATAATAGATAAATGTTCAAAGTGACCGAGACTTGATATCCCATCGGTCATCGGTTTGAATTCTATCTTTGTGAATGAATTTTATTTTAAAATTTTCCATATATATAAGTATATTATCTCAGTCATAGTTTATTTGTTTCTATTAACAATACTATAAATTCTTAAAATACTATAAAATATATAACAATGGCTGTTATGTAAATAATAATTACAATAATGTTATTATAGCATTCCCTACAAATAACAATATATTGTTTGTTTCATTATTCACAGAATTTTACATATAAATGCTTTTATAATCTGTGTAAACATTTTTTTATAAACCCTTTAGTCACAGTTATGTTTTATTTATATTCTGTGCAATACCAAAGTTATTTGTTATGTCAATTTTAGTGCTATTTTGATGGTATGAAACACATATATGTCAGATCACCTTATCTTGAAGAATTCTCTGATATTTTTCTTTTATCTTTCTTGATAATGAATATCTTAACTATATCAGATGTAATATTTTTGAGACATATTTTTTATTCAATGCATATGCCTTAGAATTTTCAATAATATTCAATAAAGTTTACAAAAAAATGTAATACTTGTAATTAAAGTTAATTTTATGAGTTTATTTTCGTTTTTTGACAATTTTGTCGCCCAGAGATGATAAATCTTTTACTGTGTTACCAAATCATATGCCCCAAATTGATTATAAATTATCTGAATCAGATCTAAAATAAGAAATGATAAATTGATATAAAATTTTCCAGATATAAAAGAGACAAATTTAAAACTATATTTTATATTAGATCTATAATCAATTAAAAATTTATATTTGATTTTTCTAACTTGTCTTGAATGGTGTTTCTACATATAAATGACAATCCTAAAGATATTTTTTATTATGTCTACTATATTTATGATGTATATTATATTTATATTTTGTATGAGTGTTATGTAAGCTATGTTTCACACCCGACGATGCCTCTAGCTACCTACAGGAGATAGATCGTGTCGCGGCCCCCAACTATCTACCTACTGAACAGGACATACTCCGTGTGAGAGTCCCTACTACTGGTATCATCGAGTACCCATTCGACCTGGAGGAGATCAGATTTAGGTACCCATGGGATATACCACGATGTTACCGAATGTTACCGAACGTTACCGAATGTTAACGCATGTTACCAGATGTTACCGCATGTTAACATACTTCTTATATGTACTATGTGTTCCAATGTGCATGATGTTCATTTTATATGTGCTTTAAATGTTACCGTATGTTAACTGATGCTTTGTTACTGAATGTCAACTTGTGCTTTAAATGTGTTAGGTGTTATCGCTTTCTGCATGTTATCTTGTATTACAGGATGAGGAATCTTTTTGGTTATACATTATATAGTTTATTATATAATATAAGTATATATGTACTAAGTTTATATGTATGTCAATTAGATCATTATATGTATGACTAGAAGGATTCTGAGTGTACAGTAGCATGAATTTCGCAGTTATCTAAGCGATTTACCGAGAATCGAAAGTTCAGATTATCTGCCGACCGAGCAAGATATTCTTCGAGCAAGACAGCCCACGACCGGCATACTAGAGTACCCTTTTGATCTAGATGGGATCATATTTAGGTATGTCGGGAACAAAACACGCTGGGTGACTATAGTTTGAACCGACAAGCAAGCTAGATCAAATATATAACAATTATGAACATCCTTTCCCTATATTTGCGGTAATCTTGGCTTGGATATATTTTTAATAATGTTTTTAGGCTCTGGTACTTTTTTGGTAGAATTGGACCTTTTTTTTGGGGTAATGGCGCTTTTTCAGCGGGAATGAGGGAGTGTTTTAAAATGCTTGTTGTATTTGAATCGCTTAATATAAATATTGCTTCTATTATGTATCACTTTAGTTATTACTATAATAATTATATTATCCTTGATCTGCTACCTAACTATTTCATTTTAATGTCATATCATGATTAAAGTACATATATATGTATTTTAACTAAAGAAATAACCTTTTTTTTAATTGTACACAAACTAATGAATTCTTATTTTGAATATTATATTATGTTAATTATCACTAACTCCTTAATAACGAAATATTAAACATAATATCAATGACATTATACATTCATCTTTCAATTTTCTACATATTTATTGTATTTTTGGTAATGCTATTTTATCCAACGTAGATATATCAAACCCAGCATCTAACTTTACTTTTTTTGTAACTACAAGTTTTAATTTCATAGTTTTTCACACATACTACATTTTTGTTTTATTTCACTATATTATATAATTAACATAAAACGCTTATTTATACAATTGTCTAATTGTATGCTTTCCAAAGTAGCGAATTTTTCATATAGCGAAAAAAAGGTAGAGTAAAAATGCAGTTTCTAACAATATTTAAATGTTAAATTTAATGAAAACTGGCTGAAGTTTTAATGCTAATAAGAATTATTAACAAGATATATTTCATATATTGTTTGCATGTGTAATGTATAGTGCTTGCATGGTGTTGGCTTGTGTGTATTTTTTGTGTGAAGAATCTAGAATAATTTAATACAAATATAAGGAATATATGTAACTATAAATGTCAATTAAATGTTTAACTCTGTTTTATTGAATTAAATTTATCGGGAACTATTCATACGTGTAATATAATTTTCGTAGAAAATTTTATTATATTTTTTCTTTAACTAAGCAAGTTACTAAAATTAAATGCAAAATTCTTGTTAACCTATACTTAAGGCTACACAAAGATAATTTTTGTTTGCTGAATGTTATTCAGTAGTCTATTTAAATATTTATAAATTTTTCAGTCTGATTACAAAATGAGCAAAATAATAGTCAACTAGTTTTATTTTTTACAAAATATGAGTATAAGGGATAAATATAATTCAATAAATAGAATAACACCTAACAAGAAATATATATATGTGTGTGTGTGTTTGTTTGTGTGTGTGTTTCAACATATGGTGTTATGTTATAGGATGGTGGACGTCGGCGGTCAGAGATCTGAAAGAAGGAAGTGGATCCATTGTTTCGAGAACGTTACATCAATCATATTCTTAGTAGCACTTAGTGAATATGATCAAATTTTATTCGAATCAGAAAATGAGGTGAGTACACAGTCGACAGCATAAAATACTCCACCTAAAGAAATATTGATCGAATTATTTAATAAAAATTTTATATAAAACTAGAAGACCCGGCGAACTTCATATCGCCCTATAATCAAGAAATATCTGTTATGTTTTTTTATTTATATTTTTGGAGTTTACCTATTAAAGCCATAAATCTCCGTGTTTTGAACTGCGACAGAATGATTGACATATTAGTTAGTTGTCAAATCTAATGTCAAAAAAAAAACGTTTGTATCAACAACTACTAATAAATTAAAAATTAATTAAAAATACATTGTCCAGCGGACAAAATTGTGAATCTAAACAATTCCCAGATCCCCTTGAACACACACAAAAAATTTCATCAAAATCGGTCCAGTCGTTTGAGAGAAGTTCAGTGACATACACACTCGCAGAAGAATTATATATATAAAGATAGAATATTTTTTTTTAATGTTGGTTACTATTCTGTTTTTGTTAACTTGTGGTATATATCAAATTTCAGAATCGAATGGAGGAATCCAAGGCGTTGTTCAAGACTATTATAACGTATCCATGGTTCCAGCATTCATCTGTCATCCTCTTCCTCAACAAAAAGGATCTTTTAGAAGAGAAGATCATGTACTCTCACCTAGTAGATTACTTCCCGGAGTATGAAGGTATGTTGTTGTGTGGTATACAATGGGATATACATACATGTATGTATATCCCATTATATATCCCATTATACATGTATAATGATGATAATGTTTATTAGGACCGAAATGTGACCCAGTACCTGCCAGGGAATACATCCTTCAGAAATATCTGAAAGAGAATCCCGACCCTGATAGACAGTGTTACTCACATTTCACTACAGCGACAGGTTTATATGTGTGAATAAAGGCTAGGCCACATTGTGTATTATAAAGGCTAGGTCACACTGTATTCGATGCTATATTTTATATATATGTATGTTTTTCTTTGGAAGTACGCTATATTTAGTCGCTAGTTTGTAACGAGTTTGTATTGGTGATTTAACTGTGGTAATGCTTGGTTAAATGTCAATACAACTTGTTTATACACGTAGTAGGCGTTCGATTCGCCTCTTGCTTGTGACGATCTCGAGCCGGTTAAGGGCGGGTCCGCCGGGTCCCGAGACTAACTTGGAAGGTCCGTCAGGTCCCGAGACGGTCTTGGGCGGGTCCGTTAGGTCCCGAGACGGTCTTTTGCGGATCCGTCGGGCCCCGAGTCTGCCTTGGGTGGGTCCGTTAGGTCCCGAGACTGCCTTGGGTGGGTCCGTCAGGTCCCGAGATGACCTTGGGAGGGTCCGTCAGGTCCCGAAACGGTATTGAGCGGGTTCGTTGGATCCCGAGATGGTCTTGGGCGGGTCCGCCGGGTCCCGAGCAAGTCTCCATCAGGTCCCATACCCCGCAGGTCCTCAGCGCGACGCCAGCACCGCGCGCGAGTTCATCCTCCGCATGTTCGTGGACCTCAACCCGGACGCGGAGAAGATTATCTACTCGCACTTCACGTGCGCCACCGGTCAGTACACACATACATACAAACACACACGCATACAAATAGACAGACAAAATAACACATACATATGTTTGACCATCATACAATTAAATTAATATAATGATATATTAAAAATGGTATGTAATTGTAAATTTAAAAACTAAACATAATGAGGACATATTTTTATTCGTTTTTAATACATGACATGAATTTTTTGAGGGTAGTATGACTTGAAAACAACAAGTTAACAAAAGTTAGCTTACAAATATTACTGGGTTGAAGCATCATGATGCATTTATTGGTTTAAGTCGAGAAGAATAATCAATTCAATAAAGTTATATGGATTTATTTAAAAAAATCTATAGGGATTTATCTCTATAATACCAAAACATACCATTTAAAATTTTTTACAAATATAATCTGACTTCTTTAAAGAGTACAGATGACACAATTAAATTTAACTATTATGATTATGAATAACATTTTTGTATGTCAATGGTCAATTTTGATGGTCTCTATATAACTAATCCAATAGAACATTATATATAAGAACATGGGTATATATTTCTTATTATGAATATACCATAGGATCCGTTCAAGTATTACATAATTAAAAAGGGGGGGGGGTCTTTGCTTTGCTTATTTTGGATGACTTAGTAATACTTTAACGGCCCTATATACAACACAATACATAACCTCTGTAATAATAATTCAATTTTATTATTAAGTACTCATATTTCCTTTGAACAGTTTCGACTCAAAATTACTGCATACATTATTTAAAATATTCTTTTCGAAGACAAATCAATGTCAATTTAGGAATGGATAATATTCCTGGGAGTTCTCAAGTAAGTAGTGTGTTGTGTGTTTTATTGCTAAGTGTATTATTAATTATTATGTAGTTTGTAGTGAATGTAGTTCTGCTTTTGAATTTTATATCTTTGTAGTGCTTGTAGTGTTTTAACTAATAGTGATGTAGTGCTTGGAGTTTTGTAGCTTATTCTGTTTTGGTTTGGTTGTTTTTTTGACTAATTTATTAAAAAGAAATTCATATTAATCTTATAACACCTTAATTATTATCTCAATGTCATAACCAGATTCAGTTCTGAATAAATTTTTAATTAAAGTAATAATCATATGTGCATTATACCTCATGAGTGCCTTATAACTCTTAATATTGAAAAATATATATGTATAAAGTGAATTTCTTTAAATTTCCTTATACAGGGTGACTGGTGAATTACTATCAATATTTAAGGAGCATACTCGGTACATGATTCTCATTCGAATTATGTAAAAAAAATAGGTACTTAATTTTTGACCAAATTTCCGTATAAATAAATAAAGTGTGTACACGTTCCAAGTGTTCCAAGCGTGGACGTGTGCGGCGGCGTGCTGATACAACACTACGCCGCCGCCGCGTCTGTGTGAGTGTGTGTGTATACCTAATCTGTAGGGTGTTCATACGATGCGTAATTAATTACATAACTTTTGGTAAACTTTACTTAGAAGTTTATTAATATTTATGTTATATTAATTTTTATTTTGTCATATATGATCGTCAAAAATCACGTCCTCAAATATCGATAGTAATTCACCAGTCACCCTGTATGTGATTCTTTAACTACTGAACAGAAATCTGCATGAATTTTAAGAAGTATAATACAAAACTACCTTCATTCTGTTAGTACTGAAGTATGATTAACAGTTTTCTGTTAACACAGCATGTTTATATGATTGTATGTATATATGATATATAACTATGTATTTATTTTATTCGCACGCTGCTTTCTTCGGATATATATAGACACTGAGAACATTAAGCTTGTGTTCTGTGCGGTAAAGGACACCATTATGCAAACAGCGCTCAAGGAGTTCAATTTGGCGTGATCCTGCCTGCTTTTATATAAATTGTATTCAAATAAATGTACCGTTCTATTTTCTTTTGTTGTGTTTTATTTTTTATTTCATCGTCTTGGTTCTTGGTTCTCTGTTGCATGGCATGCTTGTTTTTATGTTGGGATCAATTCCATTCTGCAAAATGGTTATTTTTATGTTCCCTCTGACAAGCATGAAGCAATAATATATCTGCATGGCTTTACTAATATTTGTTCGTGGCTTTATCATATATTAATTATAAAACACGTGATACACGAAATTGGGAAGAATATTTGATTAAACTTCAAGGTATTTTCGATATTAAATAGTGTCTGTAATGCAGTAATTTTGATCGCTCCTATATATTTTCTGTTGTTGTGACGTGTGTACGATCGTTCGCAGACACCGAGAACATTAGATTCGTGTTCGCGGCGGTGAAGGACACGATCCTGCAGTCCAACCTCAAGGAGTACAACCTGGTGTAGAGTGTACGTGTGTACAAGTGTACCGTACGAGTGTACAAGTGTACCGGTGTACAAGTGTACGAGTGTACAAGTGTACGGACTCTGTACTTAGATGTAAGTCATTTAATCACTATAGCACCAGGACGACCTCGCCTCAAGCGTCAGGTTTTTTTTGACATGTTTTTTATGATGGAAGTTAATCACGACTTATGTATGTGTCTGTAACGGTAATGCATTTTTTATTGGTGAGTCTCGGCCTTACCATGCTTTTAGTCATTGTTTTAGTTTTTTTTTGTTCGTAATGTAAAGTTTGTTGCCATTGTATCTTTCTATAATACATTATTGTGTATGGATTTGAAAAAAAAAACTAGTCCAATGATGTCGATGGTAATCCTAGTTACGGGATATTCGAGCGAGTTAGATATTTATTATTATTATAACGGCGGCGGCCGCTCGGGCGCGCTCGGGCCGGCTCGGGCGGACTCGGGCCGCGTCGCGTCCCCCGGCGCGCCGCCGCAGTTTCGCTTACTTGGAAGATTATATTCATTTATATAGTTTGATTGTATTTTATTTTGGTTTTAAATAAAATATTGCGTTACATTTGTACATTATAATTTTGTTACGTGTTATTATTTAACTTGTTTATAATATATGTAATACGGGAGTGGACCTGTTGTGTTGTTCGTGCCAGGCGTCATAGTTCCATAATACAGAAGGTCACCAGCGACAGATGTTCTCACTTCAATAGACTTACGTCTGATAGATGGTTACTATGTTAGTTGTTTAAGGATATTTTTGAAGCATTTGTATAACTTTTTTTACTAGACCCGTGAACAATGAAAGGTATGATTGTATTATAGAAGCGGTGCGGTCTGCGGACGCTTTATGATATAAATAACACTTATGTAATATATTGTACATTTTGGTCTAAATGTGCTGTGTGTAAGAACACTAAGAACCGACAGTGACGCACAGTTTTGCTATTGGCACAACATTGTAACGGATTAGCACAACTTTTATTACATTTATGATTGTTGTACGTGTTTCATTATTTTTATATATACATACATACATATATATATTATTATATATATTATTTGATCGCTTACGTGTGTGTTGCTCTGTGTTACGTCCTAGTTTTATTTATAGTTTGAAACCAAGTTTCTAAGATATAACTTATTGTATTAACTTATTTTTGTTGTTGTAATCTTGATTTTATTAATACATTTAAGCTTTCATTCTGACTCTGTCAATAGCAAAACTTTTTTATCTATGTACGATACAACTGTCTGTAGTGCTCAAATTTCTATATATCTATATATATATTAATATTTATTTATTTATATATATGTGAAATTGGAACAAATCGCACAATTGAACTACTATGTACTTTTATTGATGTTATCCGATCAGTATATGTTTTCTGTTTGTACATACTATGTTTCCTTTCGATGCAATTGTACAGCGATATATATATATAGTATAATATATATTAAATATGAATTGACCCGGCGCTTCCCCGGTTACCACTCGCGAATCATTACAGCTACCACGAGCATTGTAGATACATCCAGACATTTAAAATACATGATAAACAGAACATATGACAAATACTTTTAGTTAGTACACATAGCTATACATATAACGTGACTCTGTCCGCGTATGCGTGATAAATGTTTGCAAGACAATATACAGATTTATGAAGCATTTAGTTAATTTTAAAGTGACTTTAAGTGTTCATATAGGTACCTGAGGTTCGTGGTAAGGCCAGTATAGATCGATGTTAGGTGAATCAGTTTTAGATTTTACGAGTATTTTTTACACTGGTGTCATATAGGCCTTGTTAGTTTCACTGAGATCTTGTACGTATGTTTGAAGGATGTATCTCTTCGCCGTGGGCTGATAGCGCCTGTCTACAAATACTTGGACTGAATCGCGAACTGAACGTAATTCTTACTTGTTTTTATTATTATTATTATTATTTTTAAATATTATTATCATTTGAACTATTGGGAAAATGACTTCTATGATTGCTATGTTATAGTGTTAACGTTGCTTTACCTTTTGCGTGAGATTGTGAGAATTTTTAGCTTAAGTTTCGACTGATGACGGATGCCTGTATGTAATATTGTAAATTATAATTTCTCATAAAATATAATTTTTTTCAGCTAAATTATTTTGTTTTATTTTTAGTCTTCGTATATCTATATATTATATGGTGGTATAATATTTGATTTATACCAGCACTCAAGATATGTGTAAACTGTAAATCATTGTGACGTCACTTATCTATACTTAAATCATTAATGATACGGTTTAATCGATCGATTAATGTAATCTAATAATATATTTAGAGTTAATACCTTTAATCTATTTTTATTTGCAAAATAGAATATTAAAAAAGAAGTTTCAGTAACTATTTGTTTGTAAAGCGATGAATTTTTAATAAAGAGAAAAGTGGATAACGAGCAGTCGGCCTACTTGATGGGCTA